TCTTATAAAAGTACAATTACACAGTGCATACTTACTATTACACTAATAATACTAAAATAAACTTACTTACACATTTACGCAGTAACCAAAGCATAACAATTACACAGTGCCTACTTACTAAAATAAACTTACTTACACACTTACGCAGTAACCATAGCGTAACAATTACACAGTGCCTACTTACTAGTACACAGTATCTTAAAAGTAACAATATAATGCAACGACAATTATAATAATACTAAACCTAACTTATAGAAGCACAGAGCCAGAGGTTATCGCCCATTTCCTAGTAAATTTTTCTATTGTATTGTTTTTAATACATATATATTTCTCTGTCTCATATTTATTTTTGACCTTTAGCTTGAAACCAGTTATATTTGGAAGCGTTTCAGACCTTCTACAATCCCAAAGATATACCTTAGCAATCAGTAACAAATAATTGAGTAAGGGGCATTTAGAGGTTATTATTCCTATCAATACGTCTTGCAGAGTAAGGTGAAAGAATTCCTTTGTTAAAGAATAGTAATAGGATTCGAACTGTTTCCAGTAAAGCTGGGAGTACACACAATGGAAGAAGAAATGAGGTAGCGTTTCTGGTTCTGATTCACAGAAAGAACATTTATCATCCGCAGTATAACCTATCTTATATAATTTGCAGTTAGTGTATAATGTAGAATTAAGAATCTTGTACTGAAAAGCTCTAACATATGGTTCGAAGGCTAGATTATGAGGCAGGATAAAAACTTTTTTCAGTTGATCATCGGTTAAGTTAAAATCATATTTCAGAAATCGTGAATTATTTGGAAACTGTGCTTTTCTGCTTTTAATCAATAGGTAATAATCTTTCGACTTCTTTTTCAGCGCATCAAAATCCTTGTTATCAATTCTAAAAGAGAATTAATATAAACTAATATAAATTCGATAAATTGACTGTACCATAACATGCCATAATGCTCTTTGTTTGTCACCCCAAAATTTTGCATAAGCATTGTTTTCAGTGCTCTTGGGGCCATTTTCACTTCCAAGAGAAAATGAAGACAATGCTTGGGTAACGTTTAAACGGCAGTCATCAATGAAATTCCCTCGTGGAATTTTGTGGAAGGGTGTCTAAGAACCTCTTACGCATGTGTGTACGGACCTTAAAATCTCAAAAGAAAGCAATGTTCTAATCCAAGTAATAGTAATATGATAAGGTTCCTCATTCGTTTCAGAGCTTCTCGGCTAGGCGTTTGAGAAAACAGTTGCAGTCGGCTCCCATCCCACCGTTGGTTCCAAAAACTTGGGGAGTGAAAGATCCCATTTCAACGTCCAGCACCCTCTGTTGGTACTTCCGCTTTTTCTCCTCCTCCTGCTACTTAAAGATTGTGGACGTTGCTTTTCCCTGTTTACACTTGGAGTTAATATGCGTTACTCTGACATCAAAAAATGCTGCAACTCCACGAGACCAAATTAAAAAGCCCCCTGCCTTGAAGTCCAGTCTTGCCTCCGGGCTTGTTACCGCGCTTCTGAGGCTGAATCGCTCATTATATTAGCGAGAGGTTGCATTATGAGTTGTGGTTCGACTTCAACGTTGGTGCAAACCTTACCAATAAGTGAGGTAAGTAGGTTGCGGACACGATCGTGTCTCTGCGCCACGAACCCTTCCTTTTTGCATGACAGGGCATGGCAGACGGTACTTTTGTACTTCTCACCACAAATTCACTTGCTTGGCCTAAGTCGGACAGGGGCATATTATACCTTAAACGCAGAGAGACTCTGAATTCTTGTTTATTCAGCACTAAACCTTGATCAAAAAGAGGCACTGCGGTAAGCCATGAACTCGCACCCTTGTCTCTCGATTGGTTAACTGACCGCAGCAGATCCGAGGGTAGAGTGGAATCAATACTTTCCATTCTCATTTTCACCTCCGTGGAATTCTCGCCTGCCACCATGAACATGCTCTTTGTGGTAATAAAATCTACCTGCGGTGCTGTTATTGACCTAGATCCAAGCAGCAGGGTCAACGTAATCTTCAAACGACTCTATTGTGCGCATGAAATAGGTAAACTTGGATTTGTAACCCTTCGTGAAAACAGTGTAGGCTGCATGAGGCTGGCTCCTTGCTATCTCAGATAGTGCTTCGAGTTCTCCTTTCCGTCCAAGAACCTTTTCCTGACAATATTGATCTTTGAACTCTTGAGATCCGATGACGGCCCCTAAATGGCGCTGACCTTCAGTTGTAATATTGACCTCATCTCCAAACACCCTCTTTGCCTCATCTGCAAGTACTTCCGACTTGACAATCAGCCAGCTCTTTGATCCATTCACTAGATAACCATACTTCTTTCCTTCCTAATTCAGGTGAGTGTACCAGTTATACAACGGCACAATTCGTCCACCCTCCGCAGAGTCGTCAGCTAGCCATACTTGTTTAACACCTGGTGTGCTTGTCCTAGCTTAGAGTGCCCATCACCTTAAATTTTATATTTTCTTATCTGAAACTATACCTTATTAAAATAACTTCTGCGAAAAAATTTTTTCGGTGTGAACAAAACGCGATTTTTTTACCAATTTTTGAAGTCTACATTTTTGCGGTACACCCGCGCCGCTGATCATGCAAACTAGCAGGCTCACATATGACGTCATATGACGTAAATTAAGGAACTCGCATTACCCAGCGGTACACAAAAAAGATAAATTACAAGTAAGGATTGAATCACAATGTCTTCGCAAGAAGAAAGTTTTTCTCATAGCATGTATCGCAGCCTCTGAGCCTGTGCTATGGCCTGCTCAAACCTGGAGGGGGCCCGCTGCCTCTTTTATCTCTTCCTTCAAAAATCCAGCAATAGTGTTTCCAACTATGCGCCTCAGGACCTCACCAACCCCAATAGGTCGTATTCCAGGGTTTTTGTGCAAGGGGATGAGTCTGCAAGAGGTATAGCCTTCAAGCAAAGATGGATGGTAAGCGATCTTTAACACATTTCTTGTGAAAACGGCTATCTCCTCTCTCAAAACCTTGCCCTCAGCCTTGAAATTCTTGGAGCAAAGAATTCTTCGATATAGCTCGGCATCCATTCCCGACGGCCCGGCTGAGCCCTTTGTTTTGGTTGCAGCATCAAAGGTCATTTTCTCGTCGATCAAGTCAAAAACGCCAGCAGAAATGCAATCAATGGGCCCGTATGACAAACTCTTATCCGCGATATCTGCTGCTTCCGGGTATTTCTCCTTCAGCCGTTCTAGGGCTTCTGGTGTAAGGTTGAGTAAGCCTGTTAAGCTCTCGCTATCCAAAAGCTTACTAGCTGCAGATAAATTTCCTTGGAAAACTAGTATGGCAAAAACTTTGGATATGTCCTCAACTGTCCTAACCTTCTTCGAATTCACAAACTTCCCTTGGATGAATCTCACTTCTTTTAGTAAGAGATCTAAATCTCCTTGCCTCCTCAGGTTTATTAATCTTCCTTCCATCGCTGCACTATGCTCCTTGCTTTTCGAAGTAGCGGACCGCCTTTGCAAGATTAAGGTTGGGAACACCATAAAAGCTTTCAAAGCAACGGAGTTTAGATCAGAATTCGAATTAAACCGCTTTATCCAGAATGTTAGCTCTTCTATAAAGGCTTTTCCGGCTCTTCCCGATAGTACATTGAAAATATTTTTCCTGAAATGGACAATTTCATCGTAAATACCATTGATAGTATTACAGAAGCTCTCGGAGCTTGGGCATTTGGGAACTTAAGCTACGGTGACAGCAACGAGAACGGCAAGAAGGTAGCCTCCCACGCAGGCATTTTTAGGGGTGCTCGTTTTTCATTCCTCCCCACAAACGCCTGCTCAACCGAAGACAACACGCCTTTCCCGTGCTTAGCCAATCACATTGTACGTTCCAAATTCTGGAAAACTGACCTTGACCGCAAGGTAATCTGATAATTACTCGATCTGCATGAATCACTTACCACGCAAATAAAACAATGGAAAAGGAATGTTGTTTTCGGCTGAGCAGGCGTTTGTGGGGAGGGATGAAAAACGAGCTCCCCTAAAAACGCCTGCGTTGGAGGCTACCTTTTTGCCGTTCTCGTTGCTGTCGCCGTTTAAGCCGCTTAAGTTCCCAAATGCCCAAGCTCCGAGGCCTGCATAAAAATAATGACCGAGCGCGAGGCGTGAGGTTATTATTTTTGAGAAGGTCATGTCGAAGAGCGAGGACATTATCCGATTTAATGCACCTTTCCATTGTTTTAGAACTAGTAGGTCATTATTGTGGCCACTGAAGTGGAAGAGTAGGTATTATTCGAAATAACAGCCTAAGGGACATGCTCCTCTATTTATCAAAAATATTAACCCGTTCAAAATAATGGAAGGTGCATTGATTTAAAATAATTATGCAATGATTTACTTTTATTTCTATTCAATCCATTTACTTTCTGTTATTTTAATTAAGAAACGAATCAAGAAATATTTATAGTATCTCTGTTATAGTCATGCAAATGAAGCTTGTTGTTGTTGGTGGGGTTGTAACAATGTGCACGCAAGAGCGTGCTCGCCCCCTGAACCATGGCAAACGCTGGTAGGGGAGTGATTTCAGTCGCAGTTGTGATCGTTTAAATAGAGATCATTTAGATAGAGAGGCTGATGTTTTCAGCGTTAGCCCTTCGTTGGAGCTAAGGACTTGCGCTCAAAACCTCAGTTTCTCTATCTGCCTGTTGTGACGAAAACAAAACCCCAAAACTAGATCTTTGTTTTTTACCGCAGTCCCGACCTTGGAAACTAACCCCTTGAGTTTTTTTCCGTTTCTTTGTAAATGGAGTACCTGAAAAATTGTGACTGTATTCTTGCCTAGAAAAACTAATAAACCACCCGCTTTAAATTTGTTGTGGCCTCAAGGGCACGTCTCCCTGCAGATTCTTCATTTCAGTGCAATACAAAAGCCTAGTATGCAAAGAGGTCAATTAGTTTTAATTTGTTGCGCAGTGGAGTATGTTTTGACAACTTCATTCTGTTGCTGAAAAAGTGAACAAACAAGAAACGCCATGGAAGAGGATGCCATTCGAGGAAAAAACCGGCGGTCGCTGATTATTTTAACTGTCCTAATGTGCCTGGTAGCTGTTGCCATTTTGGCTATAGCTGTTATAATGTTGTCGATGATTTCTCGAAAGGATGATGATGATGATGCAGAAGTATCAAACCTTGGCTTCGCGGTGCTGGGTAAGCGCTTACGTTGTAACTTTTCGAAAGTGTCTTAACTAGCGATCAAGGATATTAAAAGACTATTATGCCCCAGTCAAGTCCCATTATGGCTCTTGGCCCCAGTATAAGCTAACCCTCGTAGTTTTTTATTATTAGCATTTATTTTAGTCACATCACGCTATTATAAGTTACAGAAAGAAAATAATTACGTGATAAGGAATTGGAAAAAAAGGGAAAAGAAGAAGTGAATCTTACAACACGTATGTTAAACACTTTTTTCAATATAATGGCCTATTCTCGGTTTGCACTGTCACGCAATGAAAAATAAAAATGCAAACCATTCAATACAGAAGGACCAGAATCTGGGAAATGAAAAAAGATAAATATACAAAAACCCTTGCCAAGAATCAGGTCTGTGAAATATTTCAAATGCGAGATATTGGGAAAAATTTATAAAGCTTTGTATGGAAACGCCATGTTGGTGTCCCTCAGGAACACCAATATGGCCGCCGGATACCAACAGAAACATCTGACTCGAGTTTTCCTACTAATGCTTGAATTCTTCGCTTGAAGAACTCATAGAGATTACAGTAATATTTATTCTGAGACAAGGAATGTTTAGATTGCAAAATCTCCCAAAATCGGTAATGTTTTTAACCCACATAAGAGCTTTCCCGGCCGCCAACTAAATGCCGCGTCACGCAAAAGCCTGGAAATTCAAGCGTCCTCTCTCGCAAAACGAAGAACCCTTTCGAAATTTGTTTATGTAAAGGTGTTTAGGTACTGTAATACCTCGTGAAAGTAGAAACTCAGAAGAATCGACAGTTTCTTAGTTTGATTTTTGGTGACGTCACGTTCTAAATAGAGTTAATCAATTAACGAGTAAGTGCTTTGTTATTAAGAGCGACGGACAGGAAAAATTGACCAAAATCATTTCGTGGCAAGAGTTGAAAAATCAATTTCTTTCATTTTTTGCTCATAGATAGCTTTTAGGTAGATAAGAAACCTTATGTTGATTGTTCCCGCCAAAAGCCTTTTATTTGTGAGAAAAATTAGATTGGTTTTCGATGGCGGTGTCTCAGACTGCCCTAATTAGCGAATTACGCTGTGGCTATATGGACGGTAACCGGTCAAGGTTTTCAAAATACTAAATGACCGGCAGTCCTGTCTTCTCAGTAAATTTCACAAATCCAACTAATCTAGCTAAACCAAACTATCATATGTCGATTAAGAAAAGTCATGCGATCCTGAAATGCTTTATAGATCTCAAGAATAACGTTTGGTTCATGCTGGGCTCAGAGGACGAAACCATGGTTTGTGACACTTAGAACTTTTTTCAGCTCGACTGCCGGTCAAGGTTTTCAAAACACTAAATGACCGGCAGTCCTATATTGTCCGTAAATTTCACAAAATCGAAAAATCCCAGGTAATCTAAATTATCATATGTCGATTAAGAAAAAGTCAAGCGATCCTGAATTGCTTTATAGATCTCAAGTGTAGCGTTTGGTTTACGCTGGGCTCAGAAGACGAAACCATGTTTGTTTGTTTGTGACACTTGAAACTTTTTTCAGCTCGACGTCCGGTCAAGGTTTTCAAAACACTAGTGACTAGCCTGCGTGGCAGGCGTTTGAAAGGGAGGGAGTTTTAGGCACAAGAGAAACGCGAGGGCCGGGGCGGGCGAGGAGGGAGGGAGGGAGGGAAACGCCTGCAAGGATACCATTGTTTTCGCCATCCCGCCTACTAGTTATGTGTGCAAAAATAACGCAACTGTGAATGACTGGCTGTCAAACAGTCTGGCCGCGATACACTTATTTTTACCTTTTGTTTTCCGTTGAAAGCAGAAAGTTGCAACGATGCGTGGCTTGTTGTAAAAAGTTCTACAATCAGGATAGAAGTAGGAATTGAAATTCTAATTAGCTTTGGATAAGCCGCGCTTAAGAGCTGCTAAGGATCGGAGGGAGTTTGCCTTAAAGGAAGGTCCAAAGCGTTCCAATTATCTGCAGCAAACTTTAATGTAGTCCGATATCCCCACCTTGTAAAAGCTTATGCTTAGATCTAGTATTATAATTATGAAAACTACTATTAAAAAAACATTGACCCGATTGCATAAAAAGGTTACTAAAATACCTGTAAGTAAAATAGCGCGGCGCTCGGCCCACCGGCGCTGTAAAGGTTTCTAACGGAGTCTCCCAAGAACGTCACTTGCAGAGGCGCGCGTGAGACGATCTATAAAATTAGTTGCGCAGCCTTATTATGGAGAACTTGTATTTCTGCCAGAAGAGTAGTATTACCCCTGTCTCCCCAAATTCCATCACCGTAGTAGAAAAGGGGCAAAATAGAAGAGTTAGAGAACATAATCCTAGCACTTAGTGGTAGGCAAAAAGGGCAGCAAAAGACCTAGTTTCTTGTTTATTTACGGCGCATATATTCAACGTGGTCATCCCACGCAAAAAAAAAATGGTTTAAAGGTTTGTTTAAGGTGGAAAGTGCCTTCAGCTTATCAAGCTAATTTACAGGCATTCCTCTCAAATAATTCTGAAATAAAGGAAATAGAACATAACAGGATTAAAAGCCTAGCTGGCAGGAGGCAACCAGGTGGTTATTTGCAACAGTGACCGAGGATCTGAACTTGGGCCTACCAAAAACAAATCCAGTAGGTGGCCAGAGCGAGACTCGAACCCAAGACCGCCGGATTGCGAGTCCGACGCGGTGACCACCCGGCCAGTAAGTATAAGTATGGGAATGACTGAACTTTGTCAAGATGTTTATTGTCAGTGGAAATAGTAAGCAATGGAGTCAACTGTACTAAGCCTCTAAAACCTCTAACATTTAACCCTTCAACGGTCAAAATCGGAAAAATATTAGCTGTCAAACGTCAAAGCTATCACCCCATTGAAAGGGAGACCTTAGCACTCAGGAAGTGACTGATCACAAAAAAACTTGACAAGTTTACGTGTACACTTGTCACCATGACGACAGCTTTCAAAATATGAACTATCCCACTTCACTGAAATCGATGTACTGCACTTGTGGGAATTCAAAACACAATGAGGCAATGATAAGTTACTTAAGTTCAGCTGAAGAAGCCTTGACGAATATGCTATTATTTTTTAAAATCTCCAAGAGGCATTGAAGCCTTTGTGAATGAGCTCGAAAAAATGTGAAATTGAAAAGTCATGACAAAAGATTTTTTCTGTACTTCCTGTACACCTGTCTAAATTTTGACCTATCTGAGACATGTGTCGTCATATTTATATTTTCTCGCTTCGATAGCTTTAATAGAGGCTCCGCTGCGCGCGCTTCGCTGTGATTGAACAGGGCCTTAAGGCCCTTAATTAGCGCACTGTTTACACTGCTGATTTTCGGTGCCCGGACCACACGAAGAACGTGGCGCGAAACAAATATGCCTTTAAGAAACGTTTTAGAACATCTATAGGGGTCCGAACTTATCATGTTTTTTCGGTTTTGGGACCACAGACGCCTAATATGGTACCAAAACCATATCGGGCTTGGACCCAGCCAAACCAGCCCTACTAGAACTGAAAGAAATGTCTTCTTTTTGCACATGTAGATATTGACGAGTGTGCAACCAACAACCACTCATGTCACATGAACGCTATGTGCAGCAATACTGAGGGATCCTATCTCTGTGCCTGCAAAGCTGGCTACTCAGGAGATGGAAAAAGTTGTTCTGGTGACTACATGTTTATTTTTCTTACACTACATTACATTACATAACTTTATTTTACCTCGAATTTACAGAGCAGCTCAAAAGCTAATACCTTCGAGGAAATAATAAATAATAAAATAACATTACTAAGTACTAATTATCTGATGTTAAGTATCATGTTTCATATAATGAAAAATATCTATTGATGCTAAGTGCTAACATGACTGAAAGAAGATGGTTCGTATTAGGCTTTCTTTGTTTGATAACGATTGAGGTATTTTCATAGTTAGCCTTTATAGGTTACTAGCGACTTGAACAGTAGCAAGTTCCATAAACACAGTCCTGTTTCTGCATATAAATGCTGATTGTCCTGTATCCAGCGGTTTCTTGTGTGTGTCAACCTTGTACCCAAAGAATAGTGGTTATTTATTAGGAACTATCTTTTCTCACGTTTGAAGCTTTCTTTCATAGATATTGACGAGTGTACGACCGACACCCATAAATGTGACATCAATGCTGTCTGTAATAATACCCAGGGATCTCATAATTGTACCTGTAAGCCTGGTTTCTCTGGAGATGGAAGTAATTGCACTGGTAATAACGTGTCTCTATTCTTTATTTGGTTGTGGTTAAGGTGATTGTTAGGTTAGATTTCACGGTTGAAAAGCAATCATTGCGAACAAAACCAAACATTATGTGAGGGCATAACGTTATTTATGTCGATACAATATGCCTTTGTGGTCTACATGGTGGGTCTTCCGACTCACATCAATCTAACCTCTCTTTCAAGAGCCAATCCGTTCTATCGCCCTAAGGAAGTGTTGGTATAAAAGAGCATGCATTCCCGCGTTCGTCCCCTCTTGCTTTCACCATCATGGCGATTACATCTTTGCGGAAAAAAAAAATTTTTTTCCCTCCCCCCCATCCCACTTTGCCATGAGTCGGGAGATCTTCTATGCGTCTATCACTTAGTTCATTCATTGGGCGAATTTCTTGCCCCACCTTTGCTAAAAATAACATAGATTATTTAGTGTTATTGTTGTGAACTAATGCGAATAATCAATTAAACTGCCACTCAGACAAGTGGCCAGATAATGCCAACACTCGAGTGACTTCTCTGTCTGTGGTACTATAGCGGAACAATAGCGTGACTTCAATGAGAGCTCCCGAACTAACTTTTAGGGTATCCGCATAAAGTTGTTTTCTTCAGCAACCGATATTATTTTCGGCGTCAACCTTATAACCCTGTGAAACTATTTGTTAAATATACTTTCTCACGTTGGGAGCTTTTTTTCATAGATACTGATGAGTGTGCAACAAACACCCATAACTGTCACATCAATGCTGTCTGTAATAATACCGAGGGATCTCATAATTGTACCTGTAAGCCTGGATACTC